CAATTCCAATATCAATCTAAATCTTAATCTTAATCTTAATCCTTGTCGTAATCTTAATCTTGATACCAATTTTAATCGTAATCGAAATCTCAACCTTAACAATCGATTGGTAATCGAATGCTAATCAAAAATTGGAGGCTTTCATTTTTAAAAATTTATATTTTCTTCCGTTAAATCTGCTGTTTCGCCCACGGTGAAATGTGTGCACTCGGCCCCAAGTTATCCCACTAATCAAAATTGTCTATTAATTTTTGTTTGGTTTTATTTTTATTTAAGTTCAACCCCGAAATGTATGTATAGTCCCTCAAAACACGGATCCCTTCATATGAAGACTGAATTACATATATGATACAATGCGTTCAGAGCCGATTCAGGTGCTAAGACCTCAATCACTACTACGATTCAACTTAAAGACAATGGTGTTAAATCGTACTCTGAGGCCTGTCAGGCTTTTTACAGAATGAGGGGCAGGCGCGTTGTTAGCCGCCCAGCAATTTCCAGCTCAAGATCAACTGATCCAAATAATAACAAAAAAATACATTAAAAAATCTTAATTAAAAATTTTTTTATCTAAAATTTTGTGCTCCTTGATCGAGAATTTTCCAGTGAAGTTGAAATCAAGAACATACGAGACATTTCTGGCATTCCAAGCCTATATTAATACCTTCTTTTTTTTAATGCCAAAGATACATTTTTATTTTTATTATTATTGCATAACGAAATTTAAAGCGCAATGAGTGCATTAGTTGGCGCAAGCGCCTAAAATCGAGCAAAGCAAATATCAAAGCAAGCGAAACGTGGCATGTTGGAATTTAGGCTAAAGGTCGAACTTGACTAAAAACGAAATGAACTAGATACTTGCGCGCGAACAATTATATTAAGAAAAAAAGTATCCTACAGTACGAAAATAAAACAAATTTTGCATATGTATGCGCATGATTCAATAATACAAGGTTCGATAAACTGACAGTTGTCTCTCTCGCACCGCTCCCTTAGCAGTGGGACCGTGTTGCTTCTTTGCAAATTTACATGGAAACAGTGTAGCTTTGGCGTGAAATAAAAGTATAAGCTTTTGTGCAATATGTTTATTTGTATATGCATATGAAGCATATTTAACTGATGAAAACCTAAGCATTGGATGTTTACATCAATCTCATAGTAGTCTTATTTTAATTTTGAGTCATTTTGCAGTTTTTATACGGCTAAATAGCATATAAATTACGTAATTCACGTAGATATATCAATATTACGTTCAACATTTCGTTTAAAATGCCAGATTTCCTGCAAATACATTAGAATTTACGAAAGGAATTTCACTACTAATTGCCTACTTTGCGTACTTTTCTACTACCATTTTCGAAACAAGGGATTGCATTCTTGCCCTTTCTCTGTCCTTCGTAAATGCAACCTTTTGTAAGGGAGTGTCAAACCGCAGCTGTCAATAATTATCTAACCTTGTATTATTGAATCATGATGTATGCGCACATATTTACACAAAACTTGCGCCCACGCCCGCATTTCACCGATTTGTTCAAGTGAAATGCATAAATAAGGTTAAAAGTGAAAAGAATCAAAACTTATTTTCCTTAATATCCCACAACAAGTTGAATAGTGCTGCAGCGGATGCAACAGAGTGTTAAAATTTGCTTTAAAGCGCTTAGAACTAGTTGGAGAATCCCAAATATGTGACAACTGGCAATCGAGGAAGGAATACTATATATGCATGTACAATAGCAGCTTCGTATCAGTTGGTGCTGTAACGCAGTATCGCATCATGTAGCGCAACGACACTTCTAAACACACAGTGGTGACGACAACAGCTGCATTCTTCGGCGCTTTTTACACCCACATTGGTCGCGGCGCGTCGTGCTTTTTCTGTTGAAATCATAACGTGTCATTTCATTGCATATTTACGAGCGCCATATTAAATGATGCAGCACGAATTTGTTTCACTACTTCGCCGATGTGGTGAACTTTTGTGTTGTTGTTTTTTTTTTGTTTGTATTCTTTCTTTCTTTGCATTTTGTGAATGCAACTTCTTTGAAGTTGTCGTCATCTGCGCGACGTGGAACAATTGTTGGCGCTGACTTTTTATGCATGCGTGTATGTGTTTGCTCCTTTTCGGTTGAAAGTGCGGTATGCCGACCCAGTAGGAAAGTATGTACATAAATAGTTAATAAAAATACATATGTACTTAAAACTTTAAGAGCTTAAAAACCAAAAACACAATACCTTAATGTACAGTTAAAACATAATATTTAATAAACATACAAATTTTGAGCAAAATTAAATCTTATATGAAAGGCGATAAAAAAATTGAATTAAGAAATTTAAATCGAAATCAAAATGAAATTATATTTAAAAATTTAAATTAGAATACATATATTAGTGTGTAATTTACAATCAATAAAAATAATTTTAAATAAATGTCCAAAGAATTTTTAATGAAAAAGTAAAAAAAAAATAAATAAATAAAGAATAAACGTTAAATTTGAAGTTTTATTTTTTTACCCGAGCGCACTTGTGCATAAATGATCAGGATGAAAAAAGAAATCGATTAAGCCATGTCTGTCTGTCCGTCCGTCTGTCCGTCTGTCCGTCTGTCCGTGTACACGATAACTCGAGCAAAAATTGAGATATCTTAACGAAATTTGGTATGTAGGTTTCCCTTAATCCAAGGTAGGTTGGTATTGAAAATGGGCGAAATCGGACT